GGATAAAATAAAATATTTTGATAATTTAAAAAATGTTTTAAATACCAACAGGCCATAACGAAAATGAGCTTCAATGAAACAAAACTAACAAAGTAAAGTATAGATAGCAAAAACTTCTACTTAAGAAAGGTTAGGAAGTATTTGTTCTTTGTTACTTGACACCTCTGCAGACAATGGTTACTTGCCCATCTTAGGCTGAAGGTTCAAAGCATTAGTGAGCAAAGTGATCTGATAGTTAGTGGGTAAAAAAAATATCATGTCAACCATTGATATCATCATTGATAATAAAACATTATTATTTTGTAGCATTAGAAAAAGATAAGCTTATTACAATATCTCTGAATACACTTGATCAGTGGATGATAAACTCAGCATGAAAAGAGAAAAAGGATGTACAGATGATGAAGTTTATGTAAACTGTTATATGTTTTAACTCTTCCTTCTGTTTTTATGCATTTATTGTTTATGTATAATTTTTATGAAGGCATTTTGAACTTTATGCTAAATAACGTAATTAAAATAAAGGTAAACTCCCTTTATTTTGTAGGGGGTACATTTTTTAAGTAGTTTCTTCTTTTTTTCAGAAAAAAAATAACAAAGGGAGGATTCAATTTTCAATGTCAAATTTCTGTTTTTTTAAACAGAAAACTAACAGTGGTGGAAAACCAAAATCAAAATATCATAAGTTTGCTGCAGTTATTAGCAAAGCATTAGTTCTTTCTAAAGTCGCTCATACGTTAAAATATATTTCGGAGTTTAATGAGTATAATTTTTACTAGTTGATTAGCTACATTATTGGCTCTGCTGCTGAGCATGCCTTACAAAGGCCCAATCTGAATGCTCCTAGCTCCTACCCCCTCACCATGTAGGGTCAACTGTAGGAACACCTGGATTGCTGTGCTAAATCCAGACGCTTTCAGGCTTGCATAAATCATGACACCATTGACTTGCACATAGACAGTGCCTGTCCATTTGGGACTACATCCTTGCCAAAAAGAACTACAAAAAAAGTTTCACAAATGAAGCAAACAGCTGCAGCTCCCCATTATAAAACACAAAACATATGAAGATGCATACATTACAACTGTATGGCTCCCATTGGTGGATAGAAAGATGAGGAGGTCCCAGTGCTAAATGAAATGACAAAAGGAAGCCTCCTGCTTTCTCTTTGTAGATGTTTCCTTACAGCCAGCACTACTTGAATAGCTTGTCGTGGTGGCCACTGATTCTTCTGGCTTAAAGGTCCCTACTGTTAACTTTAAAGACAGACGATATGCTGGTGAAGATTGTCAATTCTCCAGGAGATGATGATGAGGCAAAATAAACAAAATTTAGATAAGCTAACTCTTTGTCTTTAATAATACCTTAATGGTACTTTCCCTTGAATTCAATTTAGTTTATTTATATAGCGCCAAATCACAACACATGGCATCTCAAGGCACTTTACAGTTCAACCAGATCATACAGTCAAATCGATTGAAAGTTTTCAATCTAATGAAACCAGCTGATTGCGTCGACTCATTGACTCAAATACAATCCCTCACACTAAGCATGCTTGTAGCGACAGTGGAGAGGAAAAACTCCCTTTTAAAAGGAAGAAACCTCCAGCAGAACCAGGCTCAGTGTGAGCGGCCATCTGCTGAGGCCGACTGAGGTTCAAGGAAACAGAAGCAGACATACAGAAAGAAGCAGAGATACAAAAGGCAACTGTACACTAGCTCCACAGGCGGCCCCGTCCAGGAAACACACAGCCAGGCAGATGAGCTCGGAGCCAGCTCCCACCTCAGAGGATGAAAAGAGCAAGTACAGTTAGTCACAGTCATAGAAACAGGACTACACTGGAAAAACTCAAACATCTACTCTCAGTGTTCAAAATATAAATTTCTATGTTTTCGTGACAGGAAATCTTTGCAAACAGTCATGATGATTTTTATTTACTGAGAAAATGAGGAATTCATTGCTTTAGCCAGCTGATAAACAAGCACAGCAACAATTTTGCTATCATATATGCAGAGCAAGAGGGACATCCAGTTACATCTGATCCTATATTTTTTTTTTCCCTCTTCTCTTTTAATGCCCCTTACGTATGTTACTACTGTATACAGAGAGCACAGAATTTGTGTTCTCTTGTACATGCATCAGTTTAAGAAACCAGCCATCCATTGCTTTTTTAATCTCCATAATGAAAGTGTTTTAATGCCTCCAATTTATTGCCTGGGCAGCCAACAGAATAATTAGCTTTGTTCAGGTTTTCACAGCACAAGTACAAAAACATTTGGAATCACAAATTCTCATCAAATGCATTACTTATTGTACCTGAAGGTACATTAGACAAGAAAAAACAAAATTCGATTATGTGCATCACAATTAATCTTATCGTTTATTTAGCTTCTTTGTGAATTCCCTGTCATTCTCAGTTTTTTTTCTGACTTTGAAATGCCTTAAAATTACCTGCTTTGATCCTGTAAAATCCTCCTACTATAATCAGTATTTTAAAAGGGTGCACACACACAGACGCTTGTGCTGTAAGTCTAAATAAAGAGGCTTTAAGTCTTTATTGATTCTCTGTGACCTAGAGTCAATACCGCAAACTAAATCAGATAATTGAAGTCAGTGTCAAGCTAATTGCATTATTGCTTTAGTCCTGAAGTAATGGCCCCTCTGCTGCAGCACAGATATTGCAACTTTAGTAGCATCCATCGCACATCTGTCATTAAGCAGCAAAGGACTGTCACACAGCAGAGAGTGTAAATTGATTGTAAATATAATATCTTCAATCAGATGATTTGTCTAACATCGTGTTACTGCAGACATTTTATTAGTCACACACTGTTAATTTGATGTCAGAGATATTAAAGCAATTTCCAGTATTTTAGCTTTTTATGTGCTTTTGATAATTAGTTCAATTGGCAGTCTGACCATTAAAACTATAGCATTCGGGTCGCAAATCAGCTGAAAAATGATGTTGACAAAGTGAGTAAAAGCTGCGGAGGAAAACACGTACCTCTTGTGTGCATTTGCCTCCAGTCCTCCGAACGTGGTTAATGCAAATGAGGATGCTATTTGCATAGACGTAATTACGTAATTACAAATCATTTGGCAACGAGCTCAAGCATGTGCAGAGACAAGAGACGTTACACGAGCCACGTCTTACAGTACAGAGTTAATGAATTGCTGCTGAACAGCATGTGTTGGAACATATGTTGTGTCAGAACTCCTCACAGAAAACATCAGGTGACATTTTCATAAATCTTATTCACACAGAAGGAATCCAGGGGCTTAAGTCATATTTAATAAAGGAAATTACACTTATAAAGAGAAAAGAAGAAGCCAGAGAGCTTTCTAGATTTGCACAAATCTGACCTGTTTAGACGTAGAAATAATTGTGCAACAAGGACTGGCCAAACTCAGCACATGACAAACTAAGTATTTGTCTAGCTGTTCATCTGTTGGAGAATTAAATCAGCATCCTGTAAAAATGTACCTAAAATTCAGTGACATTGCCTGAAATGTTCAACAAGAACTAGAACTAAGTGGCGAATCAACACTGTTTTATTTGCCTTAGGTGTCAGAGCTCAATCCCTGAATGGCGTCCCTTTCCAACTGAGCTAATTTTTGAAATGTTAGACTCAGTGATCAAGGTATACAATTCAACAGCAATATACAGTTAGTCATAAAAGTGAGTTAGCCCCTCACATTTTTCAAAATTTTTTATTATATCTTGCTGTGGGGCAACATTTAAGATGTGACACTTTGTCGTCATTTCTTAAAGTAGTTGATCATGCTCTGCCTTTGTATGTTAACACTACAAGTCGACATTGATGGTTCCTTCAGTAAATAGGAGCTTCTCATATGCTGTAGGCAAGACACACTTGTCATTGCAGTCCAAAACTGGTTTCACGCTCACATGCTTGAGATGATCTAAACAAAATAATTAATACATATGTCACTCTGATGTTGTTCTGATCAGACAACAGCACATGGTTCTGGTAATACCATACATTTGCTTAGAGTGCTGTATATGGGTTTTCTTGTACATCATCTCTAGAAGAATCTTCGTTTTGGAAGGACAGCCGTACGGACAATGCGATGCCATGTGCTGCATGTGGTTTAAGCCAGGGGGCGCCCATGAGAGCTACCGTCCTTCAATTTTTAGATACATCTACTGCAGAGCTGAATTAGACGATGGATTTCAGTCCATAGATTGAAAAGGTGAGACATCTATAAGTTGCAAGATGGTAGTTTCTTTAGGTGCCATTTATCCTTTGGTGTTTGTCGCCAACAGGGTGCGTATTTAATTTTGAGTTCTGAGTGTCTGATGGGGGGGGATGGGTTATTTAAGGTCAACCAACAATTCTGTTCAGGTGTTGTTAATTGGCTGAGGCAAACAGTTTTCTACTGTGCTCGGTTTGGATGTATGTCGAATTTATGTGGATCTTAAGGGAAACAGTAAGACAATGGACATTGTACTGAAAATAAATGACTTTATTTTATGTCCAACGGAAGATCGATGCTGATTCTTAATTGAGCGCCCGTGAAACCAATGCCTTTCAACAACAACCACCAGTAGCCTAAATATAGGATTTTAGCCGTTACAGTTTCTAAAGACAGTGCTTTGATGGAGCTGGTCCTGAAACTGAAACTGACAAACTGCCCCCATACCTTTTTAACATCCAAAAAAAATTGCACTGAGATGTCTATTTGCAAAGATGACCTCTGGATATGATGCAGCTCAGTTTCAGAGGGTTAGCAGCCTTGGCCATCTTTTTATATATATAGCAATAACTCTTTTTTTTTTTTTTTTTTTTTTTAACTGATTTTGAGGGAGTTTTTTGCCATGCAGATCCGTGTTAAACCTCCAAGAAATAAGAATGAGAAAGTGTGAGAGCATTAACCCCAAACTGGAAACACTAACCAATTGCATGACTTTGAAGAGGTAAATGACTAGTTTTTCAGATTTTTACTTATTGCGCTTTTTTGCCTTTTGTTTTTTCTCTTAGAGCAAGAAGACTCCTTCGAGTTCGTCATTGTGTCATTGACAGGTCAGACATGGAACTTCGAAGCTTCTACATATGAGGAGAGGGAGCTATGGGTCCAAGCAATAGAGAGCCAGATCTTTGCCAGTCTGCAGTCCTGTGAGAGCATCAAGAACAAGGTACAGTAGGTCATGAAACATAAGGTGCAAAAATAAGAAGTGCAAAGATCAAAGCACTGTCATCCTACCACTATTCTGCTTCATTTACATTCCTCCTCTTCAAACCATGTGCTCCTTACCACCTCACTAGCTTCAGGCTACAACATGTGGGAGGTTGTCAGACAGGTGCAGTGCAGTGTGGGGGATCTCTTATTAGATCTGACAGACATCAGAGATAGAACATGGCTTGAGTTGGCATACTGGTGGAGACACAGTCTCATTTTCATATTCATATTCTCTCTATTTCACAATCCTCACGGGGCTTTGTAGATGCTATCACCTCTTCACCAGATGTCCACGGCCGCCTGTAATTGTTTACCTTCCTTTACTCCACAGTAGAGCAATTAGTCTCTATTAACCTATTTTCTCCTTATTCTCTCAGTCTCGGTTGGGCAGCCAAAGTGATGCTATGGCCATTCAGTCCATAAGAAACGTTAGGGGGAACAGCTTCTGTGTGGACTGTGATGCACCCAGTGAGTATAACTCCCTGTATCTACAAGCTATTGTATGGACATTACAAAGAAGCTTTTGCAAGTAGATAAACTTCATAAGATAATGCAGCTCCAGTTAAAATGAAGAATTAAACAGATCGTATGCCTTTTTCTAGAAAATATACCTCTTGTAAAGCTTTTTCTTTTGCATAGCAAAATTCATACAGCCATGACTGTTGAACATAGCTACCGCTAGCCTGTGCTTTCCACTCAGTAGGTAAAATGATAATAAGTGAACTAACTGGTGTGATACCTAAAGTCATTGACACAATTTTGACATTAGGGTTGCTATGCAGCTTAATTTCCTGAATTTGCCCTTTCTTACTTAATACTTTGAAGGAAGTTTAAGGAAGTCTGATCAGGTTTTAGCATAAATCAAAATGACACTCGGTACAGAATTGTGAGAAACTAGATTACACTGTTTACTTTCTGTTGGGTTAAAAGTAGTTTATTTTTTACAAAAAAAATTAACTAACAGTTTCTTGTGTTTTTTAATATGTGTGAATAAAAACTTTTCTTTCATTTAATGAAGTTATTTAAACAAGTTTCAATGCATAAATGTTCGTCAGCTTAGATTGACTTCATTTGGCTAACATGCTTTGGTATCCCAGGGTCAGTAAATGGATCAGATACACTGTCATTTAAAAATTCTGACATATTTTTGATTTTTCTGTCCTGCAGACCCGGATTGGGCCAGTTTGAACCTTGGCGCTCTGATGTGCATCGAGTGCTCGGGCATGCACAGGAACCTGGGCACCCACCTGTCTCGTGTGCGCTCTCTAGACCTGGACGACTGGCCGGTGGAGCTCAGCATGGTGATGACAGCGATCGGCAACGCCATGGCCAACAGCGTATGGGAGGGCTGTCTGGAGGGATACACGAAGCCAGGAAGCGACAGCACCAGGTTAGCACGATTCTGCAAATAAAGGTGATGCTTAATGAAGTGTGCACAGATTATAGGAGGAGAAGGCAGAAGGGTCTCCTCACCATTAGCTGCCATTTATTAGCTACCCACATTTCAGTGGAGGCACTTCACATCACCAAATGCTCCATAAGAATCACCAGGGGGCCATAAATGTCAGCCCACTGAATCAAAAACACATTATTTTATGTTTTGAGCTTCAGATCTTCTCATACACTCTGAATATAATGGCTGTTATGCCGGGGGTTTCATCAGTTAACACATTTCTTTTTATAAATCGAATATCTCTGCTACAGACTTCTGTCTATTTCTGCAGCTTGAAAATAAAACTTTATGAAACTAAGTCATATGTGAGACATTGTTTTACACAGTTACCTTAGCAGTGCTTTAAAAATGTCCACTTCCTAAAAACACACCAGATTTGTTTTAAGCAATAAGTGCATACAATTTTCTCATATTTACCAATATTTATATATATATATATTTTTGCATCTCAACCATAGGTTTCACTGCTTCTTAATTTAACCCTGTCCACAGTTTCCTGTCCTCTAAGGTACTTAGCTCTGGTAGGGGGATTTTTATCTCTTGTTGACTGTTGTGGCCCATTGTCCCAGTCTGACTAATGGCCTGTTGTGTGGCGGTGGAGGTAATTAAGCACACCATGATATCTAAACCCCACCCCAACAGCCAGGCCCTCAGGTTCCAAACCACACTGTCACATATCCATCACATAGACCTGGGTCATCACTCTGTCTGTCACAGCAAAGATTGTCTGCAGGGTCTTGCTGGTGGCGTTTGAGCTTTGTAACTTTGTCAAGGGAAATGGATAAAAGAAAGAAAAATTAATGTTAATCCTTGCAAATGGGCAAGTATATCTTCAAAAAGAGATGTCTTCTTTTAACATATCTTCTTTTAATTCACCATGACCTTTTTTAGATGAAATGCACACACCATGGAAAACCATTTTATGTAGAGTCCACATCATTATGATGTATTTTGACACATTTTGTTATTATTTTTTTAATTATTTTTTGGAAAACATTTTAAAAATGCAGAAGCATAGAATAAGGGAGAAATTTAGAGTTACTCTAAATAATAATAAAAAAAAACACTTTCTTCAATCTCTATGTAATAACATCAAGGTTTAGTGACCTTATTGGATCTTTGAATTAGAGGATATGGGATTTTTTTTATGTCATTCCCAAAATTATAAACAAAAATAACCACAATTGAAAACTAGGCTTTTTTAATTCTTATTGCCATATATTGAAACATTGCCGGGGAACCCCATTACCACCAAGCATTTTCACACCCAGAATTTATCCCATCACCTGATTCAACTTCCAATTCTGAAATGTATTTACAGTCATGATAAAGAAAGCACTTCATCTTTCATTGTATTGTTTTAGTTTGAATCTAGAATTTTTTTTTGAAAATATTAAATTTTGGCTTCAACATAATTTCTGAAATAACACTTTATATCTGATTTGTGTTTTATTTGAATTAAGATTTTTTTTAAAATCTAATTTTAAAATTTGAAACTAATTTGAAACTTACATCTTTTTAGGGTTTACTTTTTTTGCAAGGTGACTGTGTTCATTGACAGCCATGAAAAGAATAATAATATCATTCCTCTTGAAACTTGTCTGGCTGAAGGATGTTAGCTTAAATCTTTAGGATGTTATTGCTGAAAACCAGCTTACCAATTACACAACCCAGTTTTACTAATCCACTGTTTATATATACTATTCCAAAGTGTTATTTTATGCATAAGATGATAATCTATTTTAGCCCATGTCATCTTTCTACTTTATAAAGATACAGAAACTGGTCTTTAAGTAGCTAAAATAACTTTAAGATCTTTACTCACTTTTGAATTGTATATTTAAAATCTGCTCATTGTGCTCACCTCTATTCACATTAACCAATTAGGACAAAGTATTTCACGTACCGTAGTCTGTCACCAACACCTCAGTAATAGATAAATTCCTATGCATTGTTTGTTTGTTCTACGTTCAGATTTAAATTTTAGCTATTAGAAAAGGCCCCTTTACCTGTAGCCCTGAATCTGTGCGTACGGTCCTCTTTACTAAAATTATTGATCTGCATTAGCCCCTAAATAACTCAGTATTCCTGGTAGTATCCATACTGGAGGTACTGCAGTCATAAAAGATTGCTTGAATTAATTCTGCATTGAATTAAATGAGAAATTATTTCAAATGTTATGTTTTCCAATTTTGGGGTGAACAAATCTGGACAATTGAATATTCTTAATTTTTTTCACATATGTTTTCTTTTTTTATTTACATGCCAAGGTTCCATAGATTCCAGGAAGTTGTGGTTAAATGTAATGATGGAGAAGAAAGAAGGGAGTGTTGACACTCTGGGCTAATCATTATCAATATTGTCATCTGAGTTTTCAGTAATTTTGTCACAAAAATAGTATTTACTTATATTGCATGGACTTAAAATGTTTTCATATTCAATAAATGTATCAATACCAGTGATTTAGTAAATGTTTTATTTATAACTGCATAGATCAACAAGACTGACTTTGATTTTCTCATTTTAGGGGTTTTTAAGAAGTATCTTATTTCCTAAAACTGCTGATGACAGCTGGTTAATACAGATAAAACTCCTTATTGTAATGCAATGCTTCATTTAGCATCTGCAAACAAAAAGCTTACTTTATCCTGTCCTCTCTGACCAGCACAGAACTAAATGATGGCCTACAGTTGTTTATCGAGTTCTTTTATCGAGTTCTTTCTATGTTGAAAAGTTGCACTGTGGACTTGATGAAAGATTACTGATGTTGATTCCCTCCCTACCGCTGTCAGTCCCATGTCGCCACAGGCTTTTCACCATCTAAAAAAATCCGATTCCATCCTACAGCAACTTCTCTATTAGTTTTTGCTGTCAAACAATAAATCTCATTTGCAGGATAACTAATCCTTAGTGCAAGAATATAATTTTAAATAGCACACATCGCCAAAGGTTACTAAGATGTTGAATGTTTTCCTCCCTCTTAAAATGGGTATATATTAAGTTGTATGAATACATTTTAGCAGATTTCTTTTCTCCTCCTTGTGCATATTTCTTTTAACTGCGGTTCACCACGTAAGCAAGGATTTTAATTGTGTCAAACTGGTGACATGCAGCAGCTTTGTAATGACACATAGGCAGGCTTTGTACGGCTGCTGACTCTCACTAAGCATTAGTGACACCTAATCTAAACGATTCAGTAACTACCTGAATATCAACCTAGTGTCTGATTGAATGTCTCCCGCCAGACTAGTTTTACCCCTTGCATTTTTTAAATTTAACTTAAAGGTGTTCATCCACAACATTGGTTTGGCTTTTGATATTCAGATCTTAGGAACTCGTATGTAAATTTGTTATATGCAGATCTGCACAGGATCAAAATTACAGATGAATGTTTGACTGTCATGATAAGAGCAGTCTTTAAATGCATTTGTATATATTTGTGTTGTTTTAATACATTTTGTCTAAATGTTTAGCGTTAGAGCTGCATAAAGGCACAAACTTCAGTACATCTCTGCAGTAAAAGTGCAATAACCTAAGTCAACTGCTGTGTAGTCTTCCCTTAGCCCTCTACTGTGCAGATATTTTTGTATCTAAAGGAAACATATTCCAGGACATTACAACTGTTTTCTTTTTTTATGCTTTTTTTGTACTATATATACTATTTTTATATTGTCTGTTGTATTTTTATCTTTAATAGCATTTTGCTTTAACTCTTTGTACTCTATATAAGTTGCTGGAACCAGAATTTCCCTGAAGGAGTAATCCCAAGGGATAAATAAAGTTGAGTCTAAGGCTTACACTGCATGCCTTGATGCTCATTTCCGATTTTTTTTGTGAAATCCGATTTTTTTTTGCGTTGCCGTTCATATTTCCAAATATATGCGACTTGTATGTGATCTCCTGTATGAACTGCAGTCATACAACGCAAGTGTCCCGCATGCACAGTAGAGGACGCAATGACGTCACAGGCCAGCATGCTCTTTTTTTCCGGAAGTAAACATGGATGCTAGTGATGTTCAGGTCGGATGAATCAGACCAGGCCGTTCACACACACACAGGTCGCATTTGAAAAGATCAGATTCGTATCGGATTCAGGACCACATAGCCAAGTGACCTGGGTCGCATTGGAAAAAAATCTAATCTGTGTTGTTCAGACTGCCATAAAAAGATCAGATCCAGGTCGCATATGGGCAAAAAATGGGATTTGGGTCACTTGGGTCAGGCTGCAGTGTGAATGTAGCCTAAGTCTAAGTTTATAGCCCTGAGTTTGATTTCTGGCCTAGGGTCTTTCTGCACAGGGTTTGCGTGTTTTCCCTCTGCCTCGAAGCCTGAGCATCAGAGAACTTATTTAATTCATCTAAATGTCTTTATATCTTCTTCTGTCTCTTTGAACCTCAGTCGGCCTCAGCAGATGGCTGCTAAAACTGAGCCTGGTTCTGCTGGAGCTGTCTTCCTATTATGAGGGATTTTTCCTCTCCACTGTCACTACACGCATGCTCAGGGTGAGGGATTGCTGCAGAGTCAATGAGCTGATGTAATCAGCTGATTTTCCTTAGATAATAAACTTTTGGCCAATCTGACTGTATGGTGTGATTGGATGGTGTCTGTGGAGTGCCTTGGGGTGGCATATTATGTGAGTTGGCGCTATATAAATAAATTGAATAAAACTTTTCTATATGCAGCATGTCTTTATATGTATTTTATGTTATATGCAGATCTGAGAACCTGATATTTAGCCAGACACAGTGACGGGTTTAGAAGGTTGATTGAAGGCTTGTTGTTAAAATAATGAGGATTGAAGGAAGAGAGGCTGATAGAGAGCTAAATCAGACGGTGGATGATTGATCAGCAGGTGACAAGCTGAACAGACAGGTAGCATACTTGAGGAGGAAATTAAGGCAGAGCCAGCTGGTGGCAAGCTGATGCAGGTAAGCAGA